GTCGGCTCTTGCCTCTTTTTTATTTCCCTGTGAAATCATAGAGCGTCTGTTCTGTGGTAGCTTTATAGACCATCATTTACTAGCAAGCTTCTTTTTAGATCGGCAGCACAGTTTTAGGAAGAGGCATTCCTTTAGCATAGAGTTGGTGTATGAAATAGATAGATGTACTAACATCTTTGATCCTAACTATAGGGTAGGTATCATGCATCTCAACATTTTGAATAATGCTTGCCTTATCATAAAGTTCATGCAGAAAAATGTTTACTTACTGTTGGTTTATTGGCTTAATTCATAATTTGTCAGTCCATACTTTGCTCTCTTCCGATATTAGAGCACAATCAGTTGATTTGTAGAACTATGGTCTACTATGATATTAGTACTGCTCTAATAATAGATCTAATCCTAAATTTGTAGATTTGTCATGATATAACTGCCTAATCTATAAGATCTTACGTGGAAGTCACACCATCGACTATGCCAACTCACTGTATCGTATCAATTACCAATACATGATGTAGAACAAGGTTAGGCTAGAGAAAGAACAATATATTTAATATGAATAGAAGATATAAGATAACATTCAGCAGGGACCACGCCTGCATGGCCAAGTCATGCCGTTCGATCAACTCTAATTCATTGAATTCCTTATCCGCGCCTTCTCCATTGTTAGGTATTTCTCCGCGTTAAATATTGAATATCTATTTTCCGAGTAGTGTTGTGTTCAGCTTTGAAGATTGTGTGGTCATGGTCCAATGCCACTACAGATCCGCCTGTGTGTTTTTTTATAGTTCCTTTTTTGATCTCATACACTCTATTACCACCTCTTATGAGCCTGTTTTACTTCATCACTTGAATTTGGTGGCAACCATAGCGAGTGTCTATTTTCGATTTTTACTCTTTGGCTAACGGATTAAACTATTCTTAGAGTATCTAAGTCAGATCCCAGTACGATAGAGAGGTGCGAATAAATAAGTAAACATTTTTGAGGATTTTGACAACTTATTCACCTGATCCACTTTAAATTTGATGCAACTGACATTTTTTGATTAGCTGATTAGAATCTTACTCAACTTAACCTCCCTGTTTTGAACTCACTAGTGGGAAGAGACAAGTATTTAACAACCCCAGCTATAAAGGTTTGGAAATTGCATGAAATGCATGTTTAGGTTCAGTTATAATGCTAACTACCAGATATTCCCCACTGTTAGCTTTCTTGCTATCCAGCTTTGGAGTCTGTGAAAGTGTATAGTCAAGTTTAGCCCCACCTATATATGTGGCGAGCGAAAATTCCGGTGATACGGAGCGCACTGTAGAAATGGAATAGTTGGTTTACACAGACCCGTCTGGCGTAGAAGCAGGGTTTATCCCCGAAGACGTGCTTATCTCCGCCACGTCCTCGTTTATTTGTATGTAAAACCAAGTAAACCTAACAGCCATCTTCAATGGGTCATGTTATGACGTTATGTCCGGCTTTCATCACTCAATTTATCCACCAATCAAAATACGACTTATACAGTCTTCTCACTGTGCCGAACCAATGGCGTTCGACCGGTATGGGCAGTCTGGCGTCCTTATCGGTCCTATGTCCGCCTAGCCCGTCCACTTGAGTCCAGAACACCAAATACCAGCTTCCAATATGTGAATCGAATCATTTGTTTCAGACATACTGGGTTTATATATCGACCAAACAGACCGCAATGCACCATAAGATAGGAAATAACATTTGTACACAATAAAGGCAAAAAGTAGTCAATAAACTGAACATAGCTTAAGAACAGCAAATCGTACAATAATAAATTATAGGCCAAAATAAAGCTTATAGTAAGATGAATATAAATATACATAGTCTAATTATTGAATAGTTATACCATAAGAATGTAAAGATAATATTAGTCAATTAATATATCTCAGAAGTCACTCGTGATTTAATCTACGCTCGGATATAACAGGTCATAAGGGAGATCAAAGACATTTTTAGACGTAAGGTGCACTGATATATATTTATCAACACGATCCATGAGTGGCTCACGTACGGTTAATTTAAGAGTAGGAATTTATTTATAGATTATCCAGTGAGAAAAAATTATTTCGAGATCCTCGACCGAAGCCCGGTGTCAAGAGGAGGACTCAGAAAAATGACGGGATCCTGCTACTCCTACCCAGGAAAAATCCACCGTCACTGGTAAGTGATGTTGAGAAAGCTAAAGCGTTAACAAAATATTCTGATAAAGTATTTCCCAATGACAGTAATAAAAAACTAGCAATTAGTCCCAGGAACGGAGGGTTGTTGATGAATTTTGTGCTTATTTAAAAGGACTCTGTCTTACGACAACTCCAACATCTTAAATCGGACACGTCCAGTGGTTTTGATGATACACATCTACATATGAGGGCAGGTTTGGAGGATATTCGTTCCGAAGCACAGGTATTTCGGGAGTCATAGTAATCTTCACATCTGAACATTGGAAAGAGTCATAGTAATGGTAATAGAACTTCCGATATATGTAAGGCTAACTCTATTGAGTCTTTGCGTCTTACGAGCTGTTTGCAGGTCATCTCATGGTTTTGATGTATGAGATATTTAGGACATGATACTAGACGTATATGAAATAAGATTTAGAATTTGGGATTCATGAGGCGAGGTCTTTTAGGCATGAAGCGAATAAAGTTGAAAGGTTTCGACGGGGTCAAACTGGCGAAATGTCCATCAGACCTCTCTACTGGATTTGACTGAGATGTCATGTCCTATTTCCGCTACTTCACCACAGATCTCGAATTGATTGGGTAGTAGTGGTAGTGACGGTATTCCCCCATTACTGTTAGACGAAAATTCAAATCTGAAAAAGCTGAGGCTTTATCATACTATTTTGGCGAAGTCTACTCAACGTGTATTGTTAACAATACTTGCCCTAATCACACCGAGATGCCAGCCATAGGGCCTGTACATGTGACTGAGGAGACTGTTCTTCCATTGATCCCTAACCTCAAACCTTGTAAGATACCGGGACCTGATGCGTTACATCCACAATTTCTGTCATCATTTGCAGACATTATTTCAGGATCGCTGATGATGCTCCTCAACATGTCCATTCCATTCATTCAACTCTCTAGAGATAGGAAAGATGCTAGTCAGTCCTACATTTAAAGATGGTTAAAGGCAGATCGTATCGAACTACCAGCCTGTTGGTTTAACCAACATAGCTGTCAAGTCATTTGAAAATATGATTTGGGTTAAGTAATTAGGTCACATAGTTTCGTACAATCTTTAAGCTCTCGAGAAACTCGGGTTTCGGAACAAGCATTCATGTTTAACCAACTTACTTATTACGAGAGAGGATTGGACAGCAACCCCAGTCTGTCGATGTAATATTTATAGACTTTAGCGAGGCGTCTGACAACTTTTCACACCTGGGTCTTACTCAGAAGCTCTCGAGCTTCGGAATAAGAAGTACTGTACAGGAAAGGATAGGAAACTTTTTATTTGACCTCATAACGAGAGTGAGGGTTAATGGGACACTATTCGAATGGAAGCCAGTCAAGAGTGGCGCACCCCAAGGCACTATCTCAGGTTCCCTACTTTTCCTTCACTACGGAAATGAACTACCACCATTGCTTAAGTCATCGACATTATTGTTTTAAGGATGATGTCAGAATCTGGAGAATAATAAGAAGTGAGGCTGATCATTCCGATCTCTAAGCTCACCTAAACGAATTAGTCAGATGAGCTCGACGTCGGGGCTTAGAAGTTAGTTTGGGGAAGATTGTGCTCATGCATATTGGACGCAGTAATAGTTATGTTGTAACTGTGACTGAGGATTAGAGCGACGCGTATTATCGATCGGACCAAAGACGCGTAAAACACGTAAGAACGACCTAGAGTCCCGAGTGGCCCTGCTTCCTTGTTTAGCCCAGGCAGTTGAGTCCAGAAAGCAAGTCTCAGACTCATTATATTTCAAGTATACTGAGTTTATATACCAATCAACCCGACCACAACGTACCAATAAAATATGAAACAACATTTGTACAAGAATTAGCCAGATGTGGCTGTGAATGAGGGAGGTAGCGATTAACAGATTGGGAATAATTCATGAATGGTAAGTCGTACAATAATAGATCATAGGTCAACATAATCTCATAATAAGAGGGGCATGAATATGAACAGTTTAGTTGCATAACAATTATACGATAAAAATATAATCATAATATTGGTCCATGAATGGATCCCGAAAATTACCATTCATTATTCATATCGGGATACAAGTTATTAGTATACTATTGACAGCACATCTTTTCCATGTGTGCAAGAACATAAAAACTTAGGAATAATAATAAGTGACGACTTGAAGCAATTACACATTGCCACGCGGCTGTTGCCAAAGGGTCTCATGCGTTATGGTCACTTCGCCGAGCATTCAAATGCTTTGAAGAGATGTTTCGAATCTTATATTCCACCTATGTAAGACCATATTAGAGTACCGCATCCATGTCTGATAACGGATACTAACCCACTTGAGCGCGTTCAGCGTGTGGGAACAGAGTTGAAGAAGGGTCTTTCTAAACTCTTTTACGATGAGCGCATAAAACGCCAAATGATTTTCCCCATGTCGTATCGTAGGACGGCATGTAACCTTATATTGGCATTTCGTATCTTTAATTATGATTGGGGTACTAATATGTCTTATATTTTTGCTCTCTCCAGCACTAATAACGTCCGAGGTCACAGCAAGAAGATTCACAAACCGCGATCTAATAAACTTAAAGTGGGGTTCCGTTTTTCTCATAGAGCGGTCAATGAATGGAACGCTATACTCGTACATGTGGTATCGGCCCCATCAGTGAACATTTTCAAGGAGAAGCTAGACCTTCAATGGAAAGCAAACTGTCAGGATTGACACAGGTCCACCAACCTACTACCCTTATAATTGAAGACTGAATGTTTTTCGTTTGTAGGTCAGTGCACGTGCTCATTTTGACCCTCAGGGTCGCACTCGCAGCAACCTATGTCTTCGGAGAAGATAGAGTCGTTCCTGAGTCAGTTATCCAATACAGATTTATCTAAACTACCTGAGCTTATTCAGTCTATCACTGAATGTCCAGGTTTGATTTCTGGTTGGACATATGCCTTTATTTTCTCGAGGTTTGTTCGTCTTTGGTGAATTTCTTGATCATCCAAAAATTAAATCGATTGAGAATGGGGAATATTCTCAGTATTACAACTTAATGAACCTATTTTGCTACGGGACGTTCGAGTTACTTTCCACCAACCGGTCTGCATATCCTGATTTACGACCAACTCAAGTTCGGAAGTTAAAGCAGCTCTCGATAATTGATGAAGCGCATAACCAGAAGCACATACCTTATGGTCTTCTGTTTAAGAAGCTCGATATTGCATCTTCAAGAGAACTTGAAGACCTTGTTATCGAACTTTTTTACCTCGAAGCCATAACAGGAAAACTTGACCAACAGAAAGCACTGTTAGAGGTCAACTCTGCCATTGGGCGTGATATACGTATTGAGCAGGTAAAATGATGATATATTTCACCAATTAGCAGATAGATGAGCTGCATCAAAAGCTGGATTCATGGGGTGCTCGAGTCGAGTCTGTATTGGCTCATATAGCTAATGAAATAAAGATGGTTAATGAGCGACGATATGAATCCGAGTTACATCAAAAGGAGATTTTGGAAGCGTCATTGTCTATCAAAGAAGCCTTGCGTGGCCAAATGGCGAAATCAGACGTACGTTTTCTTGCTTGTACTTATAAATCAACAAATCTGTATTGAGGGAACTTTGGCAGATCTATGATTTTATATACTCCTATGTTTAGTGTGTGATGTATGAAAATAAACCATTGAGTCAATATACTGCTTCCAGGTCATTATGTATTCAGCGATATATGATGTGATTCAAATATAATCGGATGTATCATGATCTTAAAGTATCTATTTTCATTTTTCAAGGGATTTCAAACAATAATCTATTTAAGGTATAGACTTCTATAGGGTTGAATAAGGCTGTTTTAATTCACAAACCCGCTAGTTGCCTCGTGAAAATTTTAAGAGTTTGTTATATTCGTTATCCTGATCGATGACCGAGGGCAGATGAATTAAGTAAGAACTGAAATCCAAATTTTCTTGAATATATATTTCAAATTTAAAACAATTAGTCCCTTTGATAAATTTCGATAATGATATTAGAAGACTCAGGTTATCAGAACTATGTGATATATTAGCGCAATACATTTCGAACAATCTGGTCACACATATACTTGTTAAGAGCATTTATATATAAAAATAAAAGGTCAACTGGACAGGAAACGGGGTAAGAGGAGATAAGGATAATGATAAGAGTAATAATAATAATAATGTGAACACAAAGCGAAACCTAATCACTCTGGATAATAAGTCAATATTACCAGAGTGATTAGGTTTCGCTTTGTGTTCACATTATTATTATTATTACTCTTATCATTATCCTTATCTCCTCTTACCCCGTTTCCTGTCCAGTTGACCTTTTATTTTTATATATAAATGCTCTTAACAAGTATATGTGTGACCAGATTGTTCGAAATGTATTGCGCTAATATATCACATAGTTCTGATAATCTTCGTCTTCTAATATCATTATCGAAATATATATTTCAGTAATTGGATTCACTAGCATGTACAGTAGCAGCAAAAAATGAAGGTGTGATTAGATTGAATAGGCACAACCGGACTGGAATAAAATTAGTATTACATGGACACCAGATATAGGCCTCTGTAATTGTAGTGCATTTACATTAACACTGACATTTAGGGTCACCAGTAATTGTATTAGAATAGAACTAACAGTGGTAACCGAATAACCAGCAATTATGTTGTATTATAATAAATCCAGGACCAAACTAGACTGATCTAATCTGGATTATAGTGATATGAACACAAGTTCTCTGGCGTCAATTAGCATGTCAAGTATTTATGGATCAATATGATAGAATAAGACCAACGGTTATATAGATAGACACAACCAACAAAAGGAATATTAGGGTTCGTATATATATATATATATATATATATATATATATATATATATAATCGTAACCAATGATTGGCGACTCTTGGTGATAGGCTCAGAATCGACCACAGTGGCGTAGGTGTATACACTCTCTGTCTCCTCTTAAACGATGAGATTAAAATTACTTTATATCTTTCTTTCTACCAACTAATTCTTTCTTCCTGTACTATACCCTTATATGCAATCTTCCTTTTATATATTACCACAATTGACTTAAGTACTATGAATCCGGTGTTCATCTTGTTGTGCTAATGAGGTATGGGAACTTGGACCGATGCACATATGTGCCTGGTCCTACGTTGTAGCTGACTGACTGATTCACATATAAGGCATTCGAATTAATGACACAACTGGGCATAATTTAATCGGTAGAATTGAACTAATGCATTTGACTGTTACATTCTCAGTTAAATATCGTGTTCCAAAATGAATATACAATTGTGTTCATTTAACATGTTTGTATTAACTGCCATAGAGGTCCATGTGGCTGAACATCTCTCTAGGTCTTACTGCTGTAGCATAAAATATGTATCTTTTTGCAGTGGAAGTTAGAGTAGCTTACTAAAGTTTTATGCTGTTATAATGTGCGTCAAATTGACCGTTTGACTCGTTTACTAGTTCGCTTTATATAAGTGGGTATTATTTCTAATGTGTAAGAGTATTATAAGGATGATAGATGTCTTATTCTCTGAAGCATGTCAGTAAATGTTGATAATCCTGGCTTTTCAAGCTTCAAAGGATCCATTGTTTACTTATGTACTGACTCTAGGATTTAAATTTTGCCATTGAGTTTATTCGGCATGTGGATTAGAATTCAAATCTGCGAATTATGGTACTGTAAGTTCTTGTTCTATTTTATAGGCTCAAAGTTTACGGATGGATATGGACGACATACTGATTCATCCAGATTTATTAGAAAGTCGTGTAGAAGCAACTCGTCAAAGTTCAAGCAACACTGAAAGTGTTGGTGATCGTGATGTTCGCAGTCGAATAACTGTTTTTAAAAATCTTCGGCATGGTAAATCTTCCAAACAACAGTAGTGTTCAACAACTGTGAACATGTATGATTTATTATTCTGTGTACAACTTTTATAAATTACTGCAACTCAAAGAGTGCTGCGTTTTACCTTGAATTTTTCGCAATGTCACTGTTTTGGATATAAAGCAGTCAATTTATTATAAATTTTTCTTGAAGCAACTTTTTGACAATAAAAGCAGAATTCTAGGTAGTTGGTCATTTTCATACTAATCAAAGTCTTTGCAAATATCAGTTGTTGATAAGGTTTTGGGGATAAATTGTTACAATATTGTACTTTCTAATGGTCTTTTTTCATTAGGGTATCTTTTATCTTTTCCGCAAACTGCATTTTGATTATTGGGTTTTTACTTCGAGATGGAAAAAATTAACTGGATATTTCTTACCAATATTTAACATAGTATCTTCATTTTATTTTGTTGCTTGTTAGTGTTTTACTCTGGACTCCTCTGATGACTTTAACTTGTGCAGTTAGTTCTAGTCATTCACTTCAAACCGTGCTTATTGAATCCACTGATTAGGAATGCTGCATTTTCGTCTAAATATCATTGGGTTTTGATATCTATTGCGTTTATCAAATGTATAACATGTATAAAAGTGGTTTTTGCTTCTTGATAAATGAGGGATTTAGGTCATGACTTTGGCCGTTAGCATTTAAGAATGCAAAAGTGTAGCTTGTTTTTCACAATTTCATGATATGGATATAGTATATAAAACTAAAAATATGTACCAACAAAGCTGTACTGGCGTGTGATGTCTTTGTTTATACTTTTTTTCTTTACTAAAGCTGAACTCCTCACTATCTTGTTCTTAGCATTGACCTCTAATGATATTGACTCCACTTATAGATTAAATATTTGCCATATAATCAGTTTTTCTGTCTCCCCACATTATATCTTCTCGACAGATTAGTGGTAGTACTGTGGAATCTACGTAGGATAAGTATCACGCTTGGATCTTAACTATTCCGTCCCTGGACCGATACATATTTGTTCCAGGTATTTATTTTATTTAGTTAAGCACATAAACCTTGGTACAAGGAAGCACCAAATAGATATGTGCCACATAAATAATTCAGTTTGTGTGAGGGGCTGGGATACTGACCAGGTACCCGAACCGGAGCAGGTGGTTTTCTTAGGGGGCTACACCCGAAGCCTTCGACCTGAAGGTCTGATTCACAAGGCAGTGGAGCAACGTCAAAAGGTGCAATTCCATGGTAACCGGTGACCATACTCTATTCGTTCCTTCAGGATATTGGAACCCATGTGAGCGATTGGTTTGGAATGTGGGTTTTCCAACTCCCCTAGGTGGACTTACCGTGTCCACCAACCCGGTTAAAGCACCGGACATTCGCTTTTTGTCCTCTCAATTTCGTAAAAAAACACCCCCGCCTTGAGAAGGCAGTGAGTAGGACTTCGCTGGCAGTGGTTGTATGCGTGTGGCTATGTGAGAGCATTTTGAGAGGGAGAGCTAACTCTCCCCACTCTCGGCCATACCAGGGCATATGGGGGTATTATTTTGTATATGACTGATTGCTTTCCTAATGATCGTCTGAGCTGTTCGGTTTCACAGCTGCCAACATGTACTACTGTAGTGAAAAAAACAAGTGGGGAAGACCAGTTTGTTTTCTAAAGTGAACTTATACAGTGGCTTAGTAAAATATGAAAACCATACATTAAATTCATCCTTGACACATCTTTGCGTTGTCCTTTACCTGTTCGATTATTCCCCTGATTCTGTCTTTATTTTTATTGCTCCTCAATTTTCTTTCTGTTCTCTTTAATTTTACCTTCTGCTACCAGGCATTTCACTTCCGATTGCGGCTACATACTACTTATATCTGTCGGCATAAGTAGCATACACCACACTATCATCTGCTTTTTTTTCTTAGTCTAAAGCAGAGTGATATGGAAGTGGTTATAGGACCGGTGATGTTATATATTTGTACTTAGTACGTATTGTTTGTGAAATTGATCGTGTGTTTGCAAGTTATAAAAAGTTTTATAAAGCTTATCAGTTTCTAGTTCTCATTTGATGTTTAATGAACGTCCTTCAAATATCTGGTAAAGTGAAATAAACTAGCCTTAGTTAAAACTGAGTCAAACTCATTAACAGCCAATTGATACCCGGTTAGTAAGATATTTCATTTGAGATGCAAAAGCATATCACACATGTCTGGCTCTATCTGACTGGAACATCGGCGAAAGTAATGTGTTTATTTGTGAATATAGATAATAATTTGAGATCTGTGGGTATATTCAATGTGATTTATGGATATTTTACGTAGATCCTATTGGCAATGTAACCATTTTTAATAATCATGTTTATGATTCCTTGAAGTTATTCATTTGGAGTCGTAAATGGTGTTTTAATCTATCTTACATTCGTTCAATATTATGTGAATTCTTGTTTATAGTTCTAATAGTAATTTCGACACAACTACACAAGAGTGACCTTTTTAATCCATGTTGTAATCACTACAGCTAGTAGTGGTGGTACAACAATTCGTTGAGTTAGCTGAGATCAAACTTCGATAAAATTTTAGCCAGCATTATCTGCAGTGGATTTATAATCTATCTCTAATTAAATGCCACAATAATTTATTCATTAACACAAGCAGTCGAATGAAGTTTTCAGCAATTTTCAGTTTATAAATATTTCTGACCATTGTCGCCGGATTTTACAGTTTTATTAATCAGTTAAAGATATTTTGACCGTTAAGATTTAATAGAGGTTTCTTGGGTGAGACCCACACACAAAATTTTGGATTCTATTCAGGGACCTGAGGGATGGTACAATTTATGGACCCCATGGTTGCAGGTCACACTGGTTTACAATGGTTATCCTGCCAAGTTTGAATGCTGGAAACTGCAGGGAGAAAGATGTGGGGGAGAGGAGCTCTTTCAGTTAGAATAATTTCACCAGCAAAATAAACACCTTGTTGAGACAATAGGTTCTGAAAATGTGACAGTTTATGCTTGATTTATTTATTTTTTAAATTGTTTATTCCAGAGGAACATTTTAATGTGACTTGTTGGTAAGTGATAATAAAAATAATCTAACTAGTTTACTGACCACCGTAGTTAGATGTTGCTATTTTTACTTGAAAGTATCTTGTATTCATGTATTCTAGTTGTGTAGAATAAAACTTGGTTTTTCATACCAAAACACATTTGTTTTATAACTCTTAGATAAGAAAATGTGCGTATTCCATACATCAAATGATTTTTCAAATACATTTCGTCCCTACATACTTTTATTGATTTCCAAGAGACATGTGGAATACAAAAATGTTAAAAAATAAGATGAATATTTTGAGAGAGATTCTTTACCTGTCTATAAATACTAATCTAGCACTATCTCATGTTTACCTGGCTGTAGTTCATAAACATGTGTTCCGGGAAATCATTATAAGATTGGTGTTGAAAACAGTATGGATAGATAATTTGTCAGCGATAATGCAGGAAAACAGTAACAGTACTTCAGTCAAAGTGGACGATATAAAATAAGGTCCTAGACTGTCTTGAAATACAAACATAAGTAATGAATGCAAAAAGCATGACAATTCCACAGGTCTTTGGGCGAAAATTCAGTTAATTTGAAATTAAAACATTAGATCTCTGTGCTAACTGAACTCTGACTCGCCAGCCAATTTGTTTGCTATAGTGCCGTTGAAGTAACTTCAAAAACACAGTTTATTATCATTTTGGGATGTTTTTTGACTCAAATTGCTCATCTACCATTCTTCAGACAACGTAGAATCAAGAGTTAAATGCTAAGGTTTATGGAACAGTGCGTTTTGGTCTACCTATATATCTGGAAGTGTAAATCAGACATAAGAAAGCAATAAGAAAATCAACCGATAGGCAGACAGACTGACAAACAAAAACATCAAAGGATTAAGTTAAGCGTGCATACAAAATAACGTTTCTACAGAGTTAATTATTATTTTACAAACGATTCCTAAAAATGAAAAGTATGCAATAAATCTAAGCTGAATGTAGTCAGGGCTATAAAATATAAATAAGACTGTGCCATTGAGACCGATTTTGGCTCAATCGTGGGTTGCGATTATCAATGAGGTTCTACATCTACACCTGACGTGTAATTCCATATATATCTCTATTAGAAGAAGATCTAACCCAGAAACATATTTATTGTCAATGGAAAATAGTAAACAAAGGAAGAAAACAAGGATGCATTGCCACTTTTAATAGTGTATATATTGCTATGTCCAAAAATCTTAATGAATAAGTTATAAATATGCACAATATTAATGGTGATAAAACGTTCTTTATAGAAAAAGGAAAATCTAATAGAGTTATTAAGCAATTATAATACAAATAGAAATATATTTGAGTTCTAGTTTAAAGTCTATTAAAGAAAACAAACAAACAAAAGTATCGTCTTTCATAGTTGATGGGTTTTCCCTGATTATTTCTCATGGAAGGCAAAACAAAACAGGAGAAAGGAGCGATCCAGTTTGATTTTGTTCAAATATCGTTTTACAGAATTCCATTTCTTCAAACTTGTGCAATATTAGCTGAAATAAACACAGGCTAAATAGAAATAAATGCACAACCTATGGTTTATGTAATATTTTGTCATTAAGTAACTGGAAATAATTGTTATTATTAGTAATTAACTTAGTACTGGGTAGATTCGAGATCTATATTTATTTTGTTGTTTAACTAGTGATAGACAAGAAATTTACCGATGAAAATGATCATATGAATCAGCTATACAATTTTCCAGTGATATTCTAAGTTATGAAAAATTTTCTTTTATGAAAAACAGAAGTTTGTAGATTTGAAAATTCTTATTCATTGTGAATCATCATAATAAAGCTTTCGACTGGTGAGAAGATATTTTATTGAAAGTGAATTTATATAAATAACTTGTACTTACATTCTTCTGACTTTTCATTGTTGTTAGGACTAGCAACATTTATCAGTTATCCGAATGGCGAGGTAAAATTATGTATTTTTATGCATATATATACATG